GGGGTTGCTGAAGCAGGGGGTGCGGAGCCTGAGGGCGCTGAGCCTGCGCGTGTGGAGTCTGGAGGTGCTGAGCCTGGCGGTCCTTCAGGTGCTTCGTCCCGTCGGGAGCCACACTCTCCACAGCAGCTGCGCGAGTGGTTTGCTCGGCGTTGGAGCCGTGCTGCTAGAGCTGGTGGTGCTACGGGCGCTGGAGGTCCTGCTGCTGCTGGAGCTGCTGGGGGTTCTGGAGCCACGGGTCCCGGGGGTGCTCGTACTGGAGGTACTAGAGCTGCTGGGCCAGGTGGTGCTGCTGGAGCTGGAGCTGCAGGCGGTGCTGGAGCTGGCGGTGCTGCTGGAGCCGGTGCTCCTGTGGGTGCTGGAGTTGGCGCTACTGGAGCAGCTGGAGGTGCTGCTGGAGCTGGTGGTGCTGCTGGAGTTGGAGCTCCCGCCTGGGGTGCTGGTGCTGTCCCTGCTGGTTCTGGAGGCGCTGCGCGGCCGCGGCCGTACTTAGTTCCGCTCCTTCATCAAGTTCTTGGTCTTCCGCCTTCTATTGGTCCTGCTCCTTCCTTAGAGTGTCCACCGCCTGTCCAGTCGCACTCACAGTTGCAGCCCGCCTCCCCACTGCGTGCTCCTTCTCCTTGCACTGGTCCGACTGGAGGTCTTGCTGAGCGTCGTGAGCCTGCGTCGCCTGTTCGTGCTGCTAGCACTAGTCGTCGTGGTTCGCGTCAGCGTCCTCCTCCTGTCCCTGGCACGCACCGGATGGTTCTGTGCCCTTCCACTGCTCCGCAGCGTGTCCCTCTGCCGTCTCCTCCTGCGTCCTCTCTTCCTGCCCTTTCTGACCTGGAGTCTAACTCCCTTCGTGCTGCTAGTCCTACTGTCACGCGTCTCCTGGCCACTGTTGTCACTGACCCTTCCTTTGAGTCCACTGCTGTGTCTGCCTTAGTTGCTGAGCTTGTCGACTTTGCTGCTTACTGTCGTCTAGATTATGTCGCGAGTCTGGTTGCTGAGTCTGAGTCTGTCTGTCCTCCGTCCGTCGCGGGTGAGTGTGCTCTTGGCACGGACGTCCTTGAGGACAGGCAGGAGGAGTTTGAGTGCTTTGCAGCCGCTGTACCTCATCTCGTGTCCATGCTGATTGCACCTGAGGGAGACCCGGATGCACCAGACATCCCGACCCCGCGCTCTTACGCAGAGGCGATAGAGGGTCCCTACTCCTCTTAGTGGCAGTCAGCCATGGAGGCAGAGATGGCATCCTGGAAGTCCACAGGCACTTATGTTGACGAGGTTCCCCCTCCTTGGGCGAACATCGTCAGTGGCATGTGGATTTTCAGGGTGAAGCGGCCGCCGGGTTCTCCGCCTGTCTTCAAGGCTCGTTATGTTGCTCGAGGCTTCTGTCTGCAACAGGGAGTTGACTTCTTCCAGAACTTCTCCCCGACCCCGAAGATGACCACTCTTCGGGTTCTACTGCACGTCGCTGCTCAGCGTGACTACGAGCTTCACTCTCTTGACTTCAGCACTGCTTTCCTACAGGGCAGCCTGCACAAGGAGATCTGGCTGCGCCGCCCACCTGGCTTCACTGGGTCGTTTCCTCCTGGTACCCAGTGGAGCCTCCGGCGGCCAGTCTACGGTCTCCGCCATGTGCCTCGCGAGTGGCACGACACACTGAGGACTACGCTTGCAGCTCTTGGGTTTGCTCCTTCGACTGCTGACCCGTCGCTGTTTCTCCGCACCGACACTACTCTGCCGCCTGTCTACATCCTCGTATACGTCGACGACTTGATTTTTGCTACTGCTGACACTGCTGGACTGGCCCACGTGAAGTCGGAGCTGCAGAAGAGACACACGTGCACAGACCTGGGTGAGCTGCGCAGCTATCTTGGCTTGCAGATCACCCGGGACAGAGCACGGCGCACCATTACCTTGACTCAGTCACACATGGTGCAGCAGGTACTCCTCTGTACTCCTCGCCTCAGGCCTTCAGCGCTTCAACTTCACGTACTCCTCGCCTCAGGCCACTCCTCTGTCTACTCGCCACTCGCTCTCAGCTCTGCCTTCGGATGAGTCCGTAGAGCCGAGTGGCCCGTACCCAGAGCTTGTTGGCTGCCTCATGTACCTGATGACCTGCACTCGACCCGACCTCGCATACCCTCTTAGCATCTTGGCTCGCTATGTTGCTCCTGGGAGACACCGACCATAGCACATGGCTGAAGCTAAAAGGGTGTTGCGCTACCTGTGAAGTACGTCGGGCATGGGGCTCGTGCTTGGAGGACGGGCTCGAGTTGTCCTCACTGGTCACGCTGACGCTTCTTGGGTTGACGACTTGGCTACGCAGCGGTCGTCACAGGGTTACACCTTCAGCCTTGATTCCGGCTCTGTTTCGTGGCGGTCTACCCGCTCGTCTTCTGTTCTCAGCTCCAATTGTGAGGCTGAGATCTACGCAGGGGCCATGGCTGCACAGGAGTTACGCTGGCTCACCTACCTGCTTATCGACTTGGGAGAGGCGCCTCGTTCTCCTCCAGTTCTGTACGTCGACAAGAAGGCCGTGCTGGCCTTGTGTCAGGAGCATAGACTGGAGCACAGAACGAAGCACATTGCTCTGCGCTACTTTCTTGCTCGAGAGTTGCAGCAGCGTGGTCAGCTTTGTCTTGCTTACGTGGCCTCTCGGGCCAACACTGCTGATATCTCTACCAAGGCACTTCAGCCTTGTGATCATCAGCATTTCTGTACTATGCTAGGTCTTGTGCCTACCGGGCCTCACTTGTTTACCTCTTGACTTTGCTTGTACTGTGATCTATATATACCTGCACTTGCATGCTCACCCTTGTTAGGTTGAGATTACTGTCTTGCTTGTTCACCTTGATTTATAATCCTGCATGTGAACTGGCCTTGTGGCCTTGAACTTGTGCTCAGAATGTGTGGTGACGTTGTGATCCACCCTGAGCTGGACCTTGCCTTGTTCTCTTGCTTGTCCCCCACTTTGCCTATGGGGGTGTGTCAGAACTATATTGTAGGCTGTAGTGGGGCGCTCCTTATGGGGTGCAGTAGTGTTAGGGTTTACTACTTGTACTCCTCATGCTGCTCATGTCAGATTGTTATTATCTAGCCTGTAGTGGGGTGCTCTATAGCGAGTACAACCCTGTTAGGGTTTGCTATATGTATCCCAACTGCTGCTAGTGAAACCCCTCCTTTCTTCATTTCTCTCTTGCCTAGCTAGCTAAACCCTAGCTATGGCACCTCACTATGCTTACTATCTCAACATGCTATCAGAGCATCTACGCTCCTGGCCTGTGGGCCCACCTAACTGCTTCCGCTGCTACTCTGTCTGTTGCACGCCCCGTGGCGTGCGACTCCTTTCTTCCGCTGTCTGTTGATTTTTTTTCGGGTTTTCTTTTCGCCGTGCGCTCGGGGCGCGCGGCGGTTTTCTGCCCGCCGTGCGCCCCGAGGCGCGCGGCGGTTTCCTACCTTGGGGACCCGCGCGCGGCCCCCGCCCTGCTCATCGCGGTGCCCTGGGGAGCACGCGCGGCCCCCGCTCTTCACGTCGCGGCGCCCTGGGGGCCGCGCGCCACCCCTGGCGCCGCGCACGGCCCCTCGCTACCCCGTGGTGGCGCCCTGGGGGCCGCGCGCCGTCCCCCTCGCCGTCCCCCGCGCTCCTACCCTGTGCCACCCGTTTTAGGGTTTGGGGGTGGGGAGTGTGGGGGTGACGGTTGTGGGGGTGCCGGTTGTGTGCGACGTCCCCTGCTCCTCCTCCTCCTCCGTCTCCCGCTGCTGCAGCTGCCGCTCAGGGGGGTGGGTGTGTGGGAGCCAAAGGAGTGGTGCTAGGGGGGTGACGTGGGAGTGGAGTTAGGGTTTGAGCAGGGGGTGTGTGTCGAGGGTGTGGGGCAGTTGGAGGAGGTTGTGTGAAGGTAGCTGTCGTGTCGCCTGCAGCGCCTGTAGTCCGTCGCCCTTGCTTCGGTAGCCAGTGAGCCTGTTGCACCAGTCGCCAGTGGGTCCGTTGCTCCTGCCGCTCATCTATAGCCGCGGAGCCAGTTACTCCAGTAGTCCGTCGCCCTTGCTTCGGTAGCCACTGAGTCAGCCGCTCCTGTGCCCATGCCTCTGTAGCTTCTGTCGTTGCCTCCCATCTTCTCTCCTTCCACAGTTCCTCCTCCTCCTCAAATGCCCTCTGTGATAGCCTCCAGCTTTGCTTGCAATTGTGCACCTGCTCTATGACTGTGTGCTCTGCTGATTACACCCCACTTTGGCTATGGGGGTGTGTCAGAATGTTATTATCTAGCCTGTAGTGGGGTGCTCTATAGCGAGTACAACCCTGTTAGGGTTTGCTATATGTATCCCAACTGCTGCTAGTGAAACCCCTCCTTTCTTCATTTCTCTCTTGCCTAGCTAGCTAAACCCTAGCTATGGCACCTCACTATGCTTACAATCTCAACAGCTCAATGCATTCATTCCTCGTTCTTATTCTCACATAATAAGGGCAGGCAACATGGGCTGGAAAAACACAAACAAGGAAAGAAATCAACACAACAGGAAACGTCCGAGATACATGAAAACTGTACACCTAACACGCGCTAATTTCAAACCCTGAAATTGGACGCTTGTGGGTAGCTACCCTTATTTTTCCTGCGGCAAAGGGTTAAACAGAGATATATTTCTTTTAAAGTGGGCAATGTTTTGAACCCTTTCGAGTACAAGGACTGAACGGAAGTCGCTACTTGAAAAATGGCCCTCGCAAGTGGGTGGTGAGCCTGATCCACTGTGGGATTGTTTTTTTTTTAGAGTACCGATAAGGAGTGCATTGCACTATCCTCTTAATTCGGGGTGTCTGAAACGTGGAGCCGAATCTGGTCTAGGGTGGCTCCGTAACAACTTGAGCCTTGAAATTTGCGCAGGTTAGGTGTAGTTCTCAGCCGCTTGCAGCAGTTTGAATCTCTTTCATGTGCCTCCCTCCAACCTCACCTACCTCTGGCCTGGCCTCCAACTCATCAACGCTCTCAGCGCTTCTAGTCGCAAACTCCACTCGCCCCCGCTTCTCATCCCCCCCTCACCCGATTTCCCCCACTCCCCCTTATGCACTTGGCACGGGTGCGAATCTCGGCCTGGTTGTTTGGGGGCGCCTTCGCGAGGAGGGCGTGCAGGAGGCGGTTGGAGTAGGCGAAGCTGTGCACCTTCATGTTGCACCGGATGGCCGTGCGCACACGGCTGATGCGGTGTTTGGGTTGCAAGGGCAGCGAAGCCAGGTGGCGTGCCAGGCGCTCCATCTCCTCCTTGGCGCCCAGCGCGCCCTGCCCCTCTGCCTTCTGCACCCGCACTCTCCTGCTCGCCCACACGGCACACACACTTGCAGCACCCAGGGGAGGGGAGCAAGAGAATTGAGAAGAGGGGGGGAAGGGTAGGGGAGGGAACGAGGAAAGGATGAAGAATGGGGAGGAAGAAGAGCGAGAAAAGTCGTTGGGCAGCAAGATTGAGCAAGCTGTATTGTTGTGGTAGGCTTCACCTTACGTTCGGCTACCTACCACCATGCGCAAGTGGTGCGAATGCTCCATGGTGCGCACATCCCATGTGCTGCACTGCACACAACGCTCATCACCAATGGTGCCCACCATTGCTTCACCCTAGAGTCTTGCATTGTACAGTATCGCAGATGACTTGTTAGCTAGTGCGTCCGTTCCGACAGTGGCGTAACCTCAATGCACCTAATGCGTGTGTCACCATCGAGTTGCGCCCCGCAGTACCACACTCACATGATACCCGCCAGCCGTACACTGTCACTGTCACCCTACAACTATTCACGTGCTCTGCGAGAAAGCTGTCGAGGCCTTTAGGAAAGCTAATGCAACTGCCCGCAAATTTTCGGATTTATTATGCCAGGAAATCACCATGGTAGCTCGGCAGCTAGTCCTACTCGACACCAAGAGCCTCTGACTGACCGGCTCGCTGAAACTTCGCCCGCGATTTTGCGGACCTTTCCGAATTTTGAAAATGATCATACCCGTCACGGCGAAACTTCTACTGCTTGACGATTGACGTATACACGATGCCTTCCACGTCAGGCCACTAAAGCCTTTCGTGTCAGCAACGACAGACATTGCCCGCCAAAACGTTGCCCCGATGGCTCGTCCTGTCCCAGAACCGACGCTAGACCCGTCGAAAATTCTAGCGCATCATGTTTGGCTTGATGCATCCGGACGCCACGTGGACTTTCTGATTCGTTGGACTGACCGAACCAGTGAAGTCGGCACTAGGGTGCCATCCGACTCGCTTGAAGCATCTTCGTTGCTTTGGGATTATCTCACCCGAAAGCGTGTTGCAGATGTTGACCACCTTTCTTAAAGCCTGTAGCTAAACTAATGACCCCTCCCTTTTGGTTGGGTCCACTTGAAAGTTGAAGAATTGTTTTTTTTTTTTTTTTTTTTTTTTTTTTTTTTTGGTTTCACATGCATATGATACTGATCAAGTCTCCAAATTTCTTCCCAAACAAAAATCGTTGCAAGCTGTCAAACTATTATGTTGTGTGTGTTGTGTAGGCTGTAGTGGGGTACAACCCAATTAGGGTTAGTACTTGTACCACATTTCTCTTCAATGCATTTATTCTCGCTTAGTCTTCTGACATGGTTTCAGAGCAGGTCCTGTTCCAGGACCGTTTTTTAGGGCCCACCGTACAGTTCCCTGCGTAGCGCGTTACCGTGCCCGTAGCGCCCTACCCTATCCATCGCACTGCCCCACCAGTCGCACTCATCTGCATGCGCGCCACCCTGCTGGCTGCCGCGCTGCCTTGCCCTGCCCTGCGATGCGCTGCCTAGCGCGCGCTCTGCCCTGCCCCGCGTTGCACTGCCCACGCACGTCCTGCCCCGTGTCACGCCGCCCTGCCCCTGCTGCCCGTCGCGTCGCGTGCCCGTGCTGCCCGTCGCATCGCATGCCCCTGCTGCCTGTCGCGTCGCGCGCCCCTGCTGCCCGTCGCGCCATGCGCCCCTGCTGCTCATCGCGTCGCGCGCCCCTGCTGCCTGTCGCGTCGTGCGCCCCTGCTGCCCGTTGCGTCGCGCCACCCGTGCGCCCATGCTGCCCGTTGCGTCGCTCGTGCGGGCTGCCCCAGCCCGCCACGTCGCCCGTCCGCCCTGCCCCTGCCTGTCGTGTCGCCCGTCCGGGCTGCCCCAGCCCGCCTCGTCGCCCGTCCGCCCTGCCCCTGCCCGTCGCGTTGCCCGTGCGGACTGCCCCAGCCCGCTGCATCGCCCGTCCGCCCTGCCCCTGCCCGCGCGCTGCCCTGCTAGCCAAGCGCCGCCCTTTCCTGCCTGTGCGCCGCCCTACCGGCCGAGCGCCGTCCTGCCCTGCCCGCGCGCCTCCCTGCTGGCCGCCGCGCTGTCCGCCCTGCCTGCGCGCCGCCCTGTCCTGGCCGTGCGCCGCCCTGCCGTGCCTTGCGCGTTTCCCTAGTGCACGCCGCCGCCCTGCTCGTCACGCGCCACCCGGCCCTACCCGCTATGGCTTCTCTCAGTGTTCTCGATTTTGATTCAGAGGGTCGTCCGATCCAGTTCCATACGTGGTCGACAACTTACAGCTGTACCTACAGAGCGACTCTACAGACAGCGTTTCGTTGTTTGACCACACGTCTTGAGCCTCTCTTGCCCCTCACGATACAGCTGACAGTGTGACTCGCTCACAATGGCTTATCCGTGACGCTGATGCTTGCCTAGCCGTTCGCAACCACTTACTGTTAGCCGAACGCGCCCACTTTGGCCAGCACACGATTTCTAGAGCCTTGTACGACACTGAGCCGAGTTCCTAGACAAGAACCCGCCCCCGATGTACATCACTCTCTACTTCATAGTCACACGCCTCCCTGCCTCTCTTCGCGCAGTGAGGGACCACTTTCTCGCCCTTGACCCCACAGACCTCACTGCCGACCTGCTAGAGAAGCACCTCCTTGCAGCTGAGACTAGCATAGTCGTTGTAGGTGCTGCTCGTGGCACTCCTCGCACTCCCTTCTTTGAGGGGTGTTCTCCCTCCCCCCTTGCCCCGTCCTCCGCTTCTGCTGCTGCTGTTGCCTTCCTTCGTGCTGAGGTGGTTGGAGGTGCGTCTGCTCCTAGTGGGAGGCGCTGCAATGGCACGGGCACGGGAGGCACGAGTGGTGGAGGTGGCGACAGGGGAGGTGGTGGTGGAGGTGGTGGAGGTGGCGGTGGTGGCGGTGGTGGTGTTGGGAGTGGTGGTGGGAGTGGGGGCGTTGGTGGCGGCGGTGGTGGTAGCGGTGGGGGTAGTGGCGGCGGTAGTGGCGGCAGTGGGAGTGGTGGCGGCAGTGATGGTGGTTGGGGTGGAGCCGTTCAGAAGAGAGGTTCTGGCGGTGGCCAGATGCAGCAGCAGTAGCGCCCGCACAAGACCCCTACGCCCCAGCAGCTTCTTGAGTGGTACGCTCGACGCACCCGCCTTCGGAGTGGCGCTGCTGTTAGTGCTGAGGATGTCTGTTACCTGTGTGTGCCGCCCGATCCAGGTATAGAGGCTGCTGCTCTAGGTGCTAGTGAGTCTGCTCTCTCTGGTACTGCGCCTGATGAGGCCTTGTATACCTTCACGCTTGACTCAGGTGCTTCCCGATATTTCTTTCGCGACAGTACCACAGTCACACCACTCCCTGCACCTGTTGCAGTCAGACTGGCTGACCCCTCAGGGGGCCCAGTTCTTGCACGTTCCTCCACTATTCTCCCGTGTCTGGCGGTTCCGTCCAGCTCACTCTCAGGTCTTCACCTCCCCTCGTTCTCTACGAACTTGGTGAGTACCGCTTCCCTCCAGGATGCAATGGTCCACTCTCCACATGGACATATGGGGTCCAGCCCGCGTCCGTGGACAGGGCCGCGAGCGCTACTTTCTGCTAGTTGTTGACGACTACTCGCATTACACCACGGTCTTCCCCTTGCGTAGCAAGGGAGAGGTCCCTAATGTTTTGATCGCTTGGATCCGCGCTGTCCGTCTCCAGCTCTGCGAGCGGTTCCACACGGAGCTTTTTGTCCTGCGTCTGCACTCTGACAGAGGTGGTGAGTTTGCCTCCAACCTCTTGCGGGACTTTTGTCGTGGGGATCCGCCAGTCATTCACGCTTCCAACCTCTCCGCAGCAGAATGGGGTTTCTGAGCGCTGCAATGGCTTAGTCATGGAGGTTGCTCGTACCTCCATGATCCATGCGGCTGCTCCCCATTTTCTGTGGCCGTTTGCGGTCCGGTACGCCGCGCATCAGCTCAACCTCTGGCCCCGTGTCTCCTTGCGGGAGACCTCGCCTACACTGCGTTGGACGGGGGAGGTTGGCGATGCGTCGGTGTTCTGGGTCTGGGGCTCCCATGCCTTCGTCCGCGATACGTCCGCGGACAAGCTCTCCTCCCGCGCCATTCCCTGCGTCTTCCTTGGCTTTCCCCCTGACGCGCCTGGCTGGCAGTTTTACCACCCCACCTCGCACCATGTCCTGCCCTCTCAGGACGTCACGTTTGACGAGTCGGTTCCCTTTTACCGTCTCTCCCCCTACCGCACTGTCCCTCTCCCCCCCCCGCCGCTCTTCCTCCCACCAGGTCCTCCTCCGGTAGACCCCCTTCCCCCTTAGAGTCCTGCTCCCTCAGGTATGTTTGAGGTAGACCCACTCCCCTTGGCTGAGCCTGTTGAGGTAGCTGTCAACTCTGGTGCTGCTGGGAAGGGGGGTGCTGCTAGAGGTGCCGCGTCTGGGGGTGCTGAGCCTGAGCGTGAGGAGCCTGGGGGTGCGGAGCTTGGGGTTGCTGAGTCTGAGGGTGCGGAGCCTGGGGGTGCTGAGTCTGGGGTTGCTGTGTCTGAGGGTGCGGAGCCTGGGGGTGCTAAGCCTGAGTGCAGAGCCTGGGGATGTTGAGCCCAGGGGTACTGTGTCTGTTGGAGGTCCTCGTGCTGGAGGTACTGGAGCTGCCGGAGCTGGTGGTGGTGCTGCTACTAGAGGTGCTGGAGGTACTGGAGGTCATGGAGCTGCTGGAGCTGGTGGTGTTGCACGTACTGGAGCTGGAGACCCTGGAGCTGGAGGTGCTGGCGCTCGGGGTGCAAGAGCTGTCGGTACTGGTGCTGGAGGCACTGTGCGGCCACAACCGAATTCGTTCCACTACTTCGCTAGGTTCTTGGTCTTCCGTCTTCTAATGACCTTACTCCACCTCTACTGTGTCCACCGCCTGACCAGTCACAGCCACAGTTACAGCCAGCCTCCCCACTGCCTGCACCTTCTCCTTACTATGAGCAGACAGACTCTCTTACAGAGCATCGTGAGCTTGCGTCTCGCCGTGCCTCGCCTGTTCGCGCTGGTCGCACTGGTCGTCGTGTACCGCGTCCGCGTCCTCCTTCTATCCCCGGCACTCACCTGATGACACTTCGTCCTTCCTTTGTTCCACAGCGTGTTGCCCTGCCGTCTCCTCCTGCGTCCTCTCTTCCTGACGGTTCGGACCCTGAGTCTAACTTAGTTCATGATGCTAGTGCTACTATCACACGTCTTCTAGCCACTGTTGTCACTGACCCTTCGTTTGATTCCACTGCTGCGTCTGC